ATGCATACACAGTTTTAAGGCAGCTTTAATCACCTTTTTGGTAATTCCATGACTTAACTGACCATGACACTGCATGCACGTAGTTTATTTTGCGATTTCATATGAAAAGATACAGGCTACAGCGCACGCCGGTGTAGTGCGTGCAATTGAAGAGCACGCACTGCCAGCACAGTACTGTTTTCGCGCTCATTTGACTCGCGCCTGCCGCTGAAGTGAAGCTGGAGCGCGCGACTGAAACGTCTCCCGATTGATGCGGTCGTAAATACGTTCTACAACTGAATATATGCACTTCTTTTCAAGAGAAAACGTGACAGAAACAGCAGTTTTGAGTGGGGTAGCCAACACTAGCTCCGTCCCTGCTTTAATTGCTTTAACTTAATTTTTTTTAAGCGTTAAACTGAAAACAATTCGCCTGCGTTAATGTGCTAATTTTGACAGCACTAATTTTAACACGATAGAGCATTAACTTTTAAAGACACTTCCCGGATTTTTAATTCCGAACAGCCGTAATACATACCTTAAGCAGCTTAATAAAAACGCAGGAATAAGTGCCTGTACCAATGTATTAAAAACGTGCCACGGGCACGGATTAAACGTGTTTTAGCGCCACTCTCTGGACATTTCTTTTTTGAAATTGCAGCGAAACATGCAGTAAGGTACGTAATAACGGTGCAGCAGAAATGTATTTAGAGGCACGTATTTCGAATGAGCCAAATAGGTAGCGCACGGAAGTCACGTTTCCACCGAATATTTAAATGATTTACCGAAAAATGAACTTGAAGGCTCAATTTTATTTGTTTACCAGCATGTCAATGTGACCATCTAACTGTACACATGTGACATTTATTTATATATTTATATGACCATTCTATATTATGAATATAGTCAAAGCAAATACTATGGCATACAGTGGGATTTTTAGAGAGGCCATTTTAAAAGAGAAAAAGACAAACTAGGGGAAAACAATAAAATATGAATGATTTACTGCCAATGTGTGAATAATATGTGATCCATAAAAAGGCAACTTTAATCTGATTATGCGCTTTATAAAATGTAATATTCTATACCAGCAGAAGCCTACTTTATTTTTGGAATCTGATCGTGTCTGAGCAGTCTGGGGAAATATATTATTAAAAGCCTCTTCTTGAGATAATTTGCATTGCTCTCTAAAGTAGGTCTTGGGGGTTTCTACGTTCTCATAATCAGAATAAAAGGGCAAGGGACTTTCCGGCTGATGTTTGAGCGTGAGAAACCATGCTTGAGTCTGACTAATGTGATGAAAGATTCAGGCCGTTCATCTCTTCTTTGACAACATTAAAGGGAACATGATTGGTGTTGAATTCAAGACTGAAATCACTGGAGTTTCTGGAAATTTTGTCATGTAAAAATCATCAGACAAGAATTGTGAAGTTCACTCAGGTCAATGACAGAGGATTTGAATGAAATCTATTATAAACAAAACACTGTTCTAAATTATATTTGTGATGTATTTTTACATCTAATTTTGCAACAATATTGTTCAAATGTGTTAAGAATATTTCTTTTTGAAGCAATATTTGTCGTCCCACTTTAGAAAAGGACGTTTCAAACGTGGGACAGCTTGTTTTGGATAATGTGGGACAGTCAAATATACTATAAATATTCTATGTTATTCAACTGATAAAATGTGCATTAAGAAAGTTCAGTTTTAGGGCTTATAATGCAGCAGTATTATCATTTTAGCAAATGAGGTTTACCAAAGGGAATTAGAATATTTTGGTTTAACCAGAGAAAGCTATCAATGTTGTATCTAGATTTACAATTCGGATCTTAAAACTAAAAATACTGCTGCATTATAAACCCTAATATTGAACTTTCTTAGTGCACATTTTATTAGTTCAATAACATATTATATTTGACTGTCTTGGTGGTAATGACCCGATCAGTCAAAAGGAGGATCACAATCACAGGAACGAAGTTGGCGTCCAAAAAAATGGTGTTTGTTTAGTTAGAGTGGATGTGCAAAATGTGCAAATAAGTTTAAGAGCTTAAAACAAATATTGTTAATGAAAAGTCTAAAACTAGAACTGCCAAGTACTAAAAACAGTACTAACTCCCCTCTTAAAGCTGGAGTTTACACAGCACCACAATCTGTTCACAAGCTCTCAATCCGTCCATATCTCCCTTATTACAGGTGAAGGCCATCTTAAATACACATTTTTCCCGCTCTTACTAATCAGAATATACTTTTTTTTTCATTTTCTAAAGTAAACTCTTGACTTATGCCGCCTTCCAGGCAACCCGTAAACCGTGTTTTTCCAATCTTCTACCCGTGAAAGTGCACTGGAACAGCAGTCAAACCCGTGACTTCCCACCCGTGAACTCGTACTAGATCGATGTAGGCTACTCCCAGTTCCGCGCTCTGACGTCACATAGCCCGCGAAACAACAATGGCAGACCCTACGGATGCGGTGTTTATGCAAGTGGTACACGGTGAGAAATAGACCTTAGGACAATATAACGTTGCAATCAAATTAATAATAATATAATAATAATAAATAATACACACACGATTATGTATTACAATGTTATGTGTCTGAAACAAGTATGTCCTGAAAGAATACATTTACATTTAGTCATTTAGCAGACACTTTTATCCAAAGCGACTTACAATTAGGGGATACATAAAGCGATTCTTCTTAAAGAGGCAAACAGACATAAGAAGTGGTTGTAATACCAAGTTCTTAGACATTGTTCAAATAAGTACAAGCTAGAAAGAGAAGGAATAAATAAAGAGAGAGATACTTGTTATTTAAAAAAAAAAAAGATTTTTTATGATGAAGTCAAGTAGCTTCGAAAGAGATGAGTTTTCAGCTGTCGCTTGAAAATTGTCAGGGATTCAGCATTCCGGATAGGGGTGGGAAGATCGTTCCACCAGCCAGGAGTGGTGAACGAGAATGTTCTGGAAAGTGATTTTGAGCCTCTCTGTGATGGTACCACGAGGCGTCGCTCACTAGCGGATCTCAGACTTCTGAAGGGGATGTAAATTCGTAGTAGTGACTGGAAGTAGGTGGGTGCTGAGCCTGTTCTATATGCAAGCATCAATGTCTTGAACTTGATTCGGGCCGCAACCGGCAGCCAGTGCAAGGAGATGAAGAGAGGTGTAACATGGGCTCTTTTGGGCTCGTTGAAGACAAGTCGTGCCGCTGCATTCTGAATCATTTGTAGAGGTTTGATTGTGCTTGATGGGAGTCCAGCCAGAAGAGCATTGCAGTAGTCCAGCCTAGAGATGACAAGGGCCTGGACAAGAAGTTGTGCAGCATGCTCCGTTAGAAAGGGCCTGATCTTTCTGATGTTGTGCAATGCAAACCTGCAAGATTGAGCGGTCTTTGCAATGTGGTCTTTGAAGGTCAGCTGGTTATCAAAAGTTACACCAAGATTTCTGACCGAAGTTGATGGGGTAATTGTAGAAGAACCTAGCTGGATGGAAAAATCATACTGTAGAGTTGGAGTGGCAGGGAAGACAAGAAGCTCAGTCTTTGCCAGGTTGAGCTGTAAGTGATACTTTTTCATCCATGCCGAGATGTCTGCCAGGCAGCCTGAGATCCGTGCAGCTACCGTTGGATCATCTGGTTGAAACGAGAGATAGAGCTGTGTGTCATCAGCATAGCAATGGTAGGAGAAGCCATGTGCCTGTATGATGGGACCCAGTGATGTTGGGTATATGGAGAAGAGGAGGGGTCCAAGAACTAAACCCTGGGGAACCCTAGTGACCAGTTGATGTGCTTTGGATACCTCCCCTCCCCAAGACACCCATTTACGAGTTAATTCATTTGTTTTACACTGCATGCTGTTCAAAAGTTTGGGATCATTATAAGATGTTTAATGTGTTTTAAAGAAGTATCTTCTGTTCATCAAAGCTGCATTCATTTGACCAAAAATACAGAAAAACAGTAATGTTTTAAAATAGTATTACCATTTAAAATACTGGTTTTCTATTTGAATAGGCCTATACTTTGAAATATAATGTATTTCTGTGATGCAAAGCTGGTCAGCCATTGCTACAGTCTTCAGTGTCACATAATCCTTCAGAAATCATTCTAATATGCTGGTTTATTATCTATTTTTGGAACCTGTGATACTTTTCAGGATCACTTGATGAGTTAAAAAGAACAGTGTTCATTTAAAATAGAAATCGTTTCTAACAATGTAAGTCTTTATTATCATTGTTTAAATCAATTTAACACCTCCTTGTTGAATAAAAGCATTCATTTCTTTAAAAAAAAACGAATCCAATAAATGCAGCCATGATGAGCAGAAGAGACTTCTTTAAAAAACATAAAAAATCTTACAGATCCCAAACTTTGGAACGGCAGTGTAGCCTATATAAAATATTATTAGTAGCAATTTAATAAGAATAGGAATACATTATTGATATATTAAATTTGAATATATTTCCATTTAAATAGGTTTATAATATTGTTACTTAGCATATTTAAGTAAGAAAATCTTAATTTTAATTACGTATATGTTGCCACCGTACCGTTTATGTTTTATTGTTTTGCCATTCTTTGCGATACGAGCAACAGTGTTGATATGTAGCTAATTACAGCAATAAAGCTCGCTGTTTGTCAAGATAAGATGTACTACATCACCTTATCTTACAAACCACGAACTCAGTCTTCATTGTAGAGTGTATGGTTTTATCATGTCTGATTATTTCTCTAATTTAGGTTGCTTTTTTGACCTACTTCTCTAAATATTTGACGCACCACACGATGGCAGTGCGTGTCAAAAACAAGGTCACATGACCGTTTCAAAATAAAAGCACCCTGTTTCAGCTCAGTAAAGTAAGTGTAAATAATATGAGTGTAAAATTAAAAGAAAATTATTTTACAAATCTAAAAATACGCACCATACAATTAGATAAGGGAAACAGCCTGGTCAAATTTTTATGGGATATTTAGAAATTGGCGGCTTAGACTTTACTTTTAAAATATACAGATCACTGTCCTTGTTTATCATATGACAGCTTCGGAACACATGGTTTTCAGAGACGTCGATAGTTGGAGGTTACATAGTAAATTGCTTTATTTATGTTTTTAAGCGTGATCCGATAGGTGAGTGAGTCGTTAAATTGAAAGCATGCACTTTTTTATTTTAATGTTGCATTATTAACTCAATCAGCGTCATTGCCATGCACAGACATGCTTCTGTTCTGATCTTAAGTCAGTTTCTCTCCAGAATGACTATCGCGGATCTCTGGGATCAGACAGTATCGGCCTTTCTACTGAGTCCATCTCAGTTTTTGGCCACCAGCACCTCTGAGAACTTCTTGGCTGAACTTCTACACGAACTGCGGAATGATAAAGCCAATGATCAACTCAAGGTAACGAAAGCAGACAAACACACATTATGATACATGTGGATGTGCATGTATACAGACGTTGAAATAGTAGAAATATATTAACAGTTAAAAATACAGGGTTATTTTACTATAACTGGATGCTATTACAGTTTTTAATATAATATTGAAGTCGTTTTTATTTTAATATTTTCTGTTTTCGTTTTAATTTTTACGATTTATTCATTTTGTCGTGTATTATATTTTTTATTTTCAACTTGTGTATAGTTTTTATTAATTTTTATTTCAGTTTTAGTTCAAATAAATGAAAATGAGAAGATTTTGCTTTGGCAACTAGCTGAAATAAAATGCGTTTTTATTTTAGTTTAAGTTAATTTTATTTAACGTTTTTAATGGTTTTAGTTAAAAATATGAATCATGCTCCACAATGTTTGTAGCTTTTCCAGTAACTAGAACTATTAATGAACTGTAAAGCTTTGTAGAAATGCTGTGCATTTCCCTTGTAATTGACTTACTTTTGTTTAATAGTGATTTTTCTTCCTTATTATAAGATTCTCCTTGTGTCTGTGCTACTGGAGCATCCAACCATTCTCTGCCCTTCTTCCTCTGTGGGAGAGGAAACAGCCCTTGAACTACTGTCAGTCTTCTCTCACACGCCACAGAAATCCATCATCCTCAAGAGCAATGTCATGCTGGCCATCACCAACGTGATAATATGCACAACCTGCCTGGCTAACCACACGAAGATGGCTGAAAACTGGCTGGACCTTCTATTTCAGATGATTCAGGACACCAATGACTACAGATGCGGCCTATCCCAGCAGCCACTAAGGGCCACCGCTTGTGAGTGTCTACGAGAAATGGAAACCTGTAGCCCTGGTCTTCTTTCTCAAAAGTTAGAGGCCCTGTATCTTCTAAAACAGCAAGAGACCACAGTTCTGCATCAGTCCTACTGTATGCTTTATACACTTGGGCTGAAGAACGCCATAAGGATCTTGACGAGCCAAAAAGATGTTACTGACCTAGAGTTCAAGAGCATCTTAGGAGGAAATGAAGGGTTTGTATGGAAAAGCAATCAGTTACGATTGACCTTGTTGCCAATAAACATGATGGTACAAGTCCCACGTTTGCCACCAGGTTTGGATTGTAAAGAACTCAAATCAATTATGTCGTCACTCTTGGAGGAGTCTTACCTGCAAACGCCTATTTCCCAGTCTGCCCTACTTAGGGAACTTGTAGAAATTGTCGCCATGGTTCCGGGACTCTCTCCAACATTATTCAAATCGCAGCTTCTGCGACTCTTCGGAACGGCAGACGTTTCGCTCATGCATGCCACGCTCTTTATGAAGGACACATTCACAGATAGCCTTTTCTCCGCCGAGGATGAGAACTTCCTGCTCAAGCGTCTCGTGGGCACAGCCCAGCATCCGCTCCTAAGAGTTCCCGAAAAGCTCTTCTACATGGAATGCATCCTGCACTTCCCTGAGAACCGGCCCATATCCAGCAGCGGGGAAGAGAGTTTACCTGTGCTGGTTACGCCACGTCTGGCAGTGTCTCTTCATCCAACGGTTTTCAATGATAGTGCAACTATGCTCTGCAGGCTAAACCTTCTTTGTTTGGTGCACCTTGAAGCAGATGAGGGCGAAGCGGATAAAGGAATCAGCTACCTGTTTGAACACATAATGGCCCTTTTGAAAATCATAGACAATGACGGTAGCAGAGAAGTGGTGGTGACCTCTTTCAGAGCGTTGTTCATTTTTCTCATGCACTTCAGTGGCATGGAAGAACTCTCCGAGAAGGTGATCAGTTATTATAATTACCAGAAAGTGCAATCAAAAATACAAACGCAAACAAAAATATAATGTAGAAATAGGCAGAAAACGAAATATTCCTTCTTAGCAGCAAGTACTAATTCCAACAGCAGATCTATAACCAAGTATTACGCAGGACACTCACGTGCACCCGTCTGTCTCTTCTGTTGACTAATCGCTTGACCCAAGTTATGACAGTGACCAAGCAGTTTAAATACTCTACGGTCGCTGTGGCCGCCTTCTAATTAGCACAGCCAAAAGTCTATAGCAGGGCAATTCCTCCAATCGAAACTACAGTTCGCACTTAAACGCAGGAAGGGAGCAATTAAATTACACGCGCTCCTTCAGAATATTGCCACATGGAAATGTTGGGCATAGCTAACGTTAAGGTAATGTTAGGTAAACCTGAACTTGACCATGCAAACGATCATGCTTATAAAAAAATTAAGTAATGTACAATTTCTCAGCATAGCGAAATTAGGCATACAATGTTTAGCTAGCCAGCTCACAGTGTGCCTGATCTCATGCTTATATCATCAAAAGTACAATCCATGTACATCTGCTGTACTGAAATCAGCTTCCATTCGAAAACAGTAGATGAGGAGATGCAGGGATTTCTCGATGGGGACAGAACCCAACCCCTCTTGGCTCCCCTACACCAGTCCCCCCAGGGGTTATACTTTTTGGATGAAGGCCAAACGGTAAGGGTACTTCTACGTTTTCCACTTGGTAAGTTTTGTCAAGAACTTGAAATTACAGTGGTACCTGCTTAAAGTGGTCACAGTTAAAAGTGATCCTCTGTTTATAGTGATCCAAAAGCTTGGGACAGAATCATTCCTATATAAATACTTGAATTTGGCTATAGTATTCATCCATTTATATCAAAAAGGGACAAAATCATCAATTTAATTTGATCTGGGTGGACATAATTGCTATTAGAGGATCCCATTGTATTGTATTGTCAGCATAATGTTGCCAATTATTATGGTTAAAAGCTGTGCAGTTATATCCAATTGCATGCTGTTCTTGACATAGACAGTTACATTTCATGCTTGATTAAGGAGCGAACAATGGCAGCCAGCCATTTTTGAAGTCACAAAGCTTGTGTCTGGAGGGAGAGTCAGGCAGATCCCAGTCAGGCCCCAGCAGTACTAGATCCCAGTCAGACCCAGGCCCCGGCAGTCTAACACAGTCAGGGCAGGAGACAGTATTCACTGTGGAGAGCACCCAGTTTCTAATCGAGCTGATGAGGCATATAATAGATAAGTTAATGCAGTGGAACCAGCTTGTGATCATGGTTAGTGATCATCCATGTGTAGTGATCTTAAGTCAGAATAATTTCTATATACATGCTTGAATTCTGCTTATATAACCATTTATAGTGATCAATTTCACCTGTATGGATGTGCTCACTATAAGAGGATTCCACGTCATCATAATCAAATTAAGCATCTAGACTTGTTACTCAGTTTTCATAAGAACAATGCATGTATTCACTTTTCTGGAAAGAGACAGTCTCATGCTGTGGTATGACAGGAACTATAGAACTATAAAAAAACATGTATCCATAATTTAAGAGAAGTTTCCATCTGAAAGGCATAGTGTTGATTTTTTTGGTGGCTGAACTAATTAAATAAATGATAAACTCAAATAATTTTTTCGAGCCAGACATTCTAATTGTTTCAATGATTTTCCTCTCACAGGGAACACCTGGAGTCTGATGGCAATGAGCTCCCTCGGAGCCTGCAGGAGCTCAACACCAGAATCAAGAGGGGAAAGAGGGCGAAACAAAAGTTGTGGGAGGAAATGGCCTGTAGGCTGACTGCCAAATTTGGCCTGGTTTTCTCTCCAGCCAAAGTGGCAGACCCTTGTCGATGGCTACAAAGGTGTCAAGGACAATAATAATAGCACAGGGAGGGGGTTAGTTCGGTTCAAGTTTTTTGATCAGATGGATTCCCTTTTAGGAGGGCAGCATGACATTGAATTCAGTTGTGGGAGATAATGAGGGGGCCTAAATGTCTGTAGGCCAGAGGTGCTGGGTGCAGGGGGAGGGACAGGGACAGCCATCAAGCGCATGGGAGGTTTGTCCAGAGAATTGTGCAGGGGGTACACGGACACCAGACACACATGTAGACTGAGGGGAACTAGGGCACCGGCAAACCAACTTGTAGATGTTATCCAGGACTCAGAACAAGCTAGCCAGACGAGACACGGTTGAAATACTTTAGGAAATGAGAGCTCAGCGGATCTCGTTTGAGAATTGAATGAGAGAGTATCTCAGCAAGCAATAGATTGTCCCGTTTGTCTCTTCTGTTGCCAAAAGGCCTCACATAAGCATTCTTCCTTTACACACCCTTCGTCTCTTCCTCTCAACACCCCTCCTCTCCTCCTCCCCTCTCTTCCTCCCAAAAGGCTATTGTTGTGTTATCTGTTTGATAAATGCGCATTGCCCTATAATAATACCTGTATGTCCATGTGCCTTAACAGCCCCAAGCGTCTTCCATGTGATGGTCAAGTAGACATTACAACATCGCTGCTAGTACAGTGATTACTCTTGAATCCATTGCTGCTAGAATAACGATTAACAGAGACACACTACTGCAACACTGTATACACTGTACTCAACGGGTAAAATTTGAAAAATGTAAATAACATCAAGTAAAAAAGTACATCAAGAACAACAAAATAGTGAAATAAAGGAACTGAAGTTATCAACCTGGTACAACAAATAAATATTTCATTAAATATGTCATTCTAAGAACAAATGCCTTGAATGTGCAGCAAAAGGAAACTTGCAAAAAAGTAGATCTGTTTTTGAAAATTAACTCTTCAAATGTTCTCATTCTCATGACGATGGTCCTCGCACATGTCTGTAGGTCCGGCGCAGAGGTTGTGGAGCATGCAGGCTGACATGATCAGCATGACCATCACATCCAGCCTGGTGTTTTGCAGATCTCTCATTCTCCTCCTCTTGCATTTGACCCTTCCAAAAGATTACAGTACACGAAGTCAGCTCACACACCAGGAAACGGGAGATAGGCTCTGACCTATGGGCAGTTACTTACCTGCCAAACGCTTGTTTCACCACAACACGTCCTTTGCAGATCTGCGTGCTCCTCTGCTGGTCCTGGATGGTCAGGGCACAATTGTCTCTAACGTAAAAGAAGGGCCAAATCGTTTATTAAAATAAGGTATTGCTCTAACGTTATTTATCCGCAAATGTTATGCATTATCAGCAGCTATTCTAGCGTTATCTAGTTTTCAGTCCATTGAGTGCAAGAATAAATTAATACCAAATACATTTCCAAATATACAAATAATGTAAAATAAAAGGTATAACAGCTTATCTTGCCTTATGAGCCGTTTTTCCTCCTCCGTTCATTTATAAATGCGATTTAGAAACAAGAGTTTAAGTAGATAAATAATAACAATAAAAAGAGGACGGATAAATCAAAACATATTTACACAAATGTTTCCATAAATTTGCTAAAATGAGCGCTTCCCCTCAAGTTCACACTTATTGCCACGCCCACTCTGCTAGCTCAGGAAATACCCAATAACAGCACACCAGAAACAGAACACAGTAAAACACTGATGGAAGACAACTTTAAGGTCTCTCCATCACAGCCCACATTAGTCAAAACACGCCTTCCCACTTCTGAAATGGCCTTTTCTAATGTGGGATGACAAAGATTGCTTCAAATAGAAATATTCTTAACACATTTAAAAAATATCATTGCAAAAATTGATGTACAAATATAATTCAGGACAGTGTTTTGTTTATAACATATCATTAATATTAAATTTGTCTACATCCTCTGTCACTGACCTGTGAGTGGACTTAACAAGAGGAACATCCTGTCTGATTCTCGTGGCCACATTCATGACAGAATTTACAGAAACTCTAGTGATTTCAGTCTTGAATTCAACATCAGTCACGTTGACTTTAATGCTGTGAAAGAAGAGATGAAAGTCCTGAAGCTTTCATCGCATCAGTCAGTGTGTCACATTACTCACGCTCAAATGACAGCCGGAAATTCTGATATGTCAGGTGGAAAGTCCCTTTCGTTTAGAGGAAAATACTTGAAACCCCGAAAATCTGCTTATAGAGAGCGACGCAGATGAACAGGAGAAGAGGCTTTTAAAAATATATTACCCAGCCTGTTCAGGCATGATACAGCATCCAATATGCTGAATGTTTTTTTTTTTTTTTCAAAACTCTGAATGTTATCATGTATCATCCAAGGCCGTAACCACACCTTGAACTTTGGGGGGACCAATACCCAAAAGGTGGGTTTGGTCTGTCTGTCTATCTATCTATCTATACACAAACACACAAAACACAAGATCTTTACTTTTTTTTTTTTACCTAAAAACTACAGTAAGGTCAGTGAGCATATCACAGATTTTGATTGGTTTATAATAAGCATCTTTTCAGCTAAAAACTGTCCACATCACATCACATCACAATGTACACATCACAATCACTTTTTTCAGAAAAACAGACTAGTGAACCAAAGTATAAAAACCAATATTCAGTAAATTTAAAATGAAAAAAAAAATACACTGAACAAAATTATAAACGCAACACTTTTGTTTTTGCCCCCATTTTTCATGAGTTGAACTCAAAGATCTAAGACTTTTTCTATGTACACAAAAGGCCTATTTCTCTCAAATATTGTTCACAAATCTGTCTAAATCTGTATTAGTGAGCACTTCTCCTTTGCCGAGATATTCCATCCCCCTCACAGGTGTGGCCACAATAAAAGGCCACTCTAAAATGTGCAGTTTTACTGTATTGGGGGGTCCGGTGGGTCCGAAAACCAGTCAGTATCTGGTGTGACCACCATTTGCCTCACGCAGTGCAACACATCTCCTTCGCATAGAGTTGATCAGGTTGTTGATTGTGGCCTGTGGAATGCTGGTCCACTCCTCTTCAATGGCTGTGCGAAGTTGCTGGATATTAGCAGGAACTGGAACACGCTGTCGTATATGCCGATCCAGAGCATCCCAAACATGCTCAATGGGTGACATGTCCGGTGAGTATGCTGGCCATGCAAGAACTGGGATGTTTTCAGCTTCCAGGAATTGTGTACAGATCCTTGCAACATGGGGCCGTGCATTATCATGCTGCAACATGAGGTGATGGTCGTGGATGAATGGCACAACAATGGGCCTCAGGATCTCGTCACGGTGTCTCTGTGCATTCAAAATGCCATCAATAAAATGCACCTGTGTTCATAAATTTGCTAAAATGAGCGCTTCCCCTCAAGTTCACACTTATTGCCACGCCCACTCTGCTAGCTCAGGAAATACCCAATAACAGCACACCAGAAACAGAACACAGTAAAACACTGATGGAAGACAACTTTAAGGTCTCTCCATCACAGCCCACATTAGTCAAAACACGCCTTCCCACTTCTGAAACGTCCTTTTCTAATGAGGGATGACAAAGATTGCTTCAAATATAAATATTCTTAACACATTTAAAAAATATCATTGCAAAAATTGATGTACAAATACATCAAAAATATAATTCAGGACAGTGTTTTGTTTATAACATATCATTAATATTAAATTTGTCTACATCCTCTGTCACTGACCTGTGAGTGGACTTAACAAGAGGAACATCCTGTCTGATTCTCGTGGCCACATTCATGACAGAATTTACAGAAACTCTAGTGATTTCAGTCTTGAATTCAACATCAGTCACGTTGACTTTAATGCTGTGAAAGAAGAGATGAAAGTCCTGAAGCTTTCATCGCATCAGTCAGTGTGTCACATTACTCACGCTCAAATGACAGCCGGAAATTCTGATATGTCAGGTGGAAAGTCCCTTTCGTTTAGAGGAAAATACTTGAAACCCCGAAAATCTGCTTATAGAGAGCGACGCAGATGAACAGGAGAAGAGGCTTTTAAAAATATATTACCCAGCCTGTTCAGGCATGATACAGCATCCAATATGCTGAATGTTTTTTTTTTTTTTTCAAAACTCTGAATGTTATCATGTATCATCCAAGGCCGTAACCACACCTTGAACTTTGGGGGGACCAATACCCAAAAGGTGGGTTTGGTCTGTCTGTCTATCTATCTATCTATACACAAACACAACAAAAAACAAGATCTTTACTTTTTTTTTTTACCTAAAAACTACAGTAAGGTCAGTGAGCATATCACAGATTTTGATTGGTTTATAATAAGCATCTTTTCAGCTAAAAACTGTCCACATCACATCACATCACAATGTACACATCACAATCACTTTTTTCAGAAAAACAGACTAGTGAACCAAAGTATAAAAACCAATATTCAGTAAATTTAAAATGAAAAAAAAAATACACTGAACAAAATTATAAACGCAACACTTTTGTTTTTGCCCCCATTTTTCATGAGTTGAACTCAAAGATCTAAGACTTTTTCTATGTACACAAAAGGCCTATTTCTCTCAAATATTGTTCACAAATCTGTCTAAATCTGTATTAGTGAGCACTTCTCCTTTGCCGAGATATTCCATCCCCCTCACAGGTGTGGCCACAATAAAAGGCCACTCTAAAATGTGCAGTTTTACTGTATTGGGGGGTCCGGTGGGTCCGAAAACCAGTCAGTATCTGGTGTGACCACCATTTGCCTCACGCAGTGCAACACATCTCCTTCGCATAGAGTTGATCAGGTTGTTGATTGTGACCTGTAGAATGTTGGTCTACTCCTCTTCAATGGCTGTGCGAAGTTGCTGGATATTAGCAGGAACTGGAACACGCTGTCGTATACGCCGTTCCAGAGCATCCCAAACATGCTCAATGGGTGACATGTCCGGTGAGTATGCTGGCCATGCAAGAACTGGGATGTTTTCAGCTTCCAGGAATTGTGTACAGATCCTTGCAACATGGGGCCGTGCATTATCATGCTGCAACATGAGGTGATGGTCGTGGATGAATGGCACAACAATGGGCCTCAGGATCTCGTCACGGTGTCTCTGTGCATTCAAAATGCCATCAATAAAATGCCCCTGTGTTCGTTGTCCATAACATACACCTGCCCATACCATAACCCCACCGCCACCATGGGCCACTCGATCCACAACGTTGACATCAGCAAACTGCTCACCCACACAACGCCATACACGCTGTCTGCCATCTGCCCTGTACAGTGAAAACTTGGATTCATCCGTGAAGATAACACCTCTCCAAAGTGCCAGACGCCATCGAATGTGAGCATTTG